TTATAGTTTTTTTCTATTTGTAATGTAATTTAGAAAGGTAGATATAAAGTTATAATCAATGATTTATAATTCTGATTTCTATAATAATTCAAATTTTTAAAAATGCATCAAAAACTAAACCCTACACCCATCAATATAAACCCTAAACCCAAACTCCACATTATAAACCCCTCCTCCCCCTAATTAAAGAACCTACACCCTAAACCTAAACCCAAATCCACATTATAACTCCCCCCTCAACTTCACACCTCAACCTCATATTATAAATTAGTTTTAGATTTGCTTTTATTTATAAAAGCTTTTTTAATGGTTGTTTTCTTCTCCTTTTTATTCTTCTCTAGTGATCCCATCTTCTTCTTTTTTCTTCCATTTTTTATTCATTGTCATCATCTTCTTTTTTTGCTTCTTCTTCATCTTCCAATTTTTGTTCTTCAATCGGTTCTTGTGTCTTTATATCCTCCAACTCACTATTCTTCTTTTTCTTTCTAATTTTCTTTACATTCTATTTCCGATTTTTCTTTTCCCTCATTCTCCCTCTCTCTCTCTCTCTTTATCATCTTCGTCTTCTCTGACATCATCTTATTATAGTTTTTATTTATCTCCTTTGTCTTTTTTTTTTCTTCACATTCCATTTTTTCTTTTTCCTCGTGTTAAAGTTTTCTTCTTCCTCTCAAAGTTTCCCATCTTGTTTTCCATCGTCTTCTTTTCTCTTACTCTTGTTTTTCGTCTTGTCTACGTTTTGTATTCACTTATCAATTCATTCGATAGTTAAGATTTTGTTAATTCATGAATTCAATTAATATTAGATTAACGCATTTTCTTTTTAATTACTTTTCATATTTTTGTAATGTGTTTATTTTCCATGGAAGTAATAGCTTAATATTTTGTTAATTTGATAAGAACTTATAAATTGTGAAAGTACAAAAAAATAGTTAAATTTTGTAATGGTTGTTTTCTTCTCCCTCTTATTCTTTTTCACTGATCCCATCTTTTCTTTTTTCTTCCATTTATTTATTCGTTGTCATCATCTTTTTTTTCCCGTTCTTCTTTTTTTGAATTTTCGTTCTTCAATCTTTCTTGTGTCTTCATATCCTCCAACTTACTATTCTTCTTTTTTTTCTAATTTTCTTTACATTCTTTTTACGTTTTTTCTTCTTCCTCATTCCCCTCACTCCCTATCTTTATCATCTTCGTCTTCTGAGACATCATATTATTCTAGTTTTTATTTATCTCTTCTTTGTTTTTTTTCTCTTTACATTCCATTTTTTCTTCTTTGATGTATTTTTCCTCATATTCGAGTTTTCTTCTTTTTCCTCTCCATATTTCCCATCTTCTTTTCCATTGACTTCTTTTCTTTTACTCGTATTTTTATTAGTTCTTGTGTACGTCTTGTATTCCACCTATCAATTCATCTGATAGTTTAGATTTTCAAGGATTTATGAAATAGTTTTTTTTTTATCTTTATATAGTTGAGATCTTTTAAAAATCTTTGTTATCTTTTGATTCTGGATTTGCTTTAATTGGTATAGTCTTTTTTCTATTTGTGAATGTAATTTAGAAAGGTAGATATAAAGTTATAATCAATGATTTATAATTCTGATTTCTATAATAATTCAAACTAAACCCTACACCCACCAATATAAACCCTACACCCTAAAACCCAAACCACATTGTAACACCCCCCCCCCCCCAAACGACCCTACACCCTAAACCCAAACCCCACGTTATAACTCTCCCCCTCCCCCAAAACGACCCTACACCCTAGACCGAAACCCCACGTTATAACTCTCCCCTAAACCGCACACCTGAACCCCACATTTTACAAACTGGTTCTGGATTTGCTTTTATTTTTTTTTTCCTTAATTTTTTTTGTTTTTAATCGGTAATGTAGTGTATTCAAATTTTTTAAAATGCAACAAAAATTAAACTTTGCGCCAATCAGTATAAACCGTACATCGTGTACCCCAACCCCATTTTTTTTTACTTCTTTCATATTTTTTTCCTTCATTTTCTACCGTTTTTCCTTATTCTTATCAAAATTTATAATCTCTTTTTCTTTTCCTCTCTCTTCATCGATATCTTTTTATTTCCTGGTTTTTATTCGTTTTCTTCCTTTTATTTACAGTTTGTTTTTCAACTGGCTTTGTGTTCTTATTCTTCATTTTTTATCTTTTTATTTTTCCACTTCTTTATTATTCACATATTCTTCAATTCTTTTCTTCTTTTGTTTTGTTTTTTTGTTCGTTTTTTCTGTCTTCGTCTTCCAACTTTTGTCTTTCCTTATTTTTATTCAAGTTTTCCTTCTTATTTCAACTTGTACTTCATCATTTTCTAGTATCAGTCTTTTTCTTTTTTGCAACATCTTATTTATCAGTTTCGTCTTCCTCTTATTTTATTTTAATTTTTATTTTTTTCTCGTCTTCTCATATTTCTTTTTCTTCATCTCCTCATATCTTTTTGCTATTTTTTTTTCAGTTGTAGTTCTTTCATCTTCTTTATTTTATTTGTGTAACATCTTAATTTTCTGGTTTTCTTTGTCTTTATCTTCTCGTACTTTACTTTCGTCTTATTTATCCTCCGATTTTCTTCTTTCAAATTTTCCTTATTATGTTCTTCTTCTTCATTATATGTGTTTTTTTTTATCTAAATCCATCTTTTCGGGTATTATACTTTGCTTCTTCAATCTATGATTGAATCCAAGTTATAAATATAGTTTCACCAACACACACAATCAATAACCCACGAAATATATATTCAATTAACACGTCGATATCCACTTGCTTTCCATTTCGGTGTACCTAAGTGTTTCTTCTTTGATAGCTTTCTCAAAATTCTTGTTACATAGCTGAAACGAAAGGGTCAACAAAGATGATCTCAGTTCGTTGGTGGACATGGTTATTTGGCGTCTGCAACTTGCTTTCCAGATCTTCAATTTCTTCGAGTAATGCCTCCTTCTCACCAGTCACCAGTATCAAAATTTGACTTTTTTGGAGTTGTCATCCTCATCAACTGTTTTATTATATCTATTCTTCGTCAATATCAAATTTTGGCAGCAATAAAGAGTGGTTAAGACTAACTCTTTGTTGATTCAATTTTTTCGTGTATTTGTTGCTCTGAAATAATCAGTTTTAGTTTACTTCCAACATAATGACAAACATCAGTTTCGGCTCTTATAAGCTCTTCCTGCAAAGCATATGGTAAATGATCTTTGAATGATAGCCAACTTGAAAACCGAAAGACAAAAAAGAAAAAGAAAATGGGCTGTGGTGGAAGAGAAAACGAATCTGGTCACTCAAATCATTCACATCTCTTCGAATATCTCATTTATCACTCGTTTGTTTCCCATGGATTTAGCCTGTTCACCAAATCTAAGGGTTCTCATTGTTCTTTTTGTGTTTCTGAGTTACAAAAAAAAACTCTATTAGTAAATATAGGCCGAAGAAACTGTTTGATAAGTAACCAACTAAACTTTGTTACCAGTTACCAAGTTCTTCGGACAGAAGTAATCATTGTGTTCAAGTCTGTCGCGATTTTCCGACAATCATCACCAATCTGAACATGCAATCAACGATCAATGTTTAGTGCAATAGCGTTGGGGCCGAGCGCCTCCTGATTAGTGATTACCCCGCTGCCAAGAGGAATTTACAGCCAAAAATCAAGGTCTTCTCAAAGAAGAAAAAAACTAAGAGATCGACATATGGAATTCACAATATTGAATTGAAACAAAAAGAGATAAAAAATTCTAAAAACATAAAAAAATCAAGAATATTGGATGCATCTTTCTCGTTGTATATATCTCATCAATCTAAGGACCATCTAACATAAATAGGTTTTTCATCCATACAATAATAATGTGAATCTTAGAAAAACATAATGATATTGATATAGTAATTAACCTTTAACCTTTATTTTGTGTTCTTTACCGACTTATTATTCTGATAGAAACACCATCTCCATGAAACCTAGAAACATAACACAATCAAATCATCAGTATGATAAAAACCTTCATAAACAAACAAAAACATATATCAATAAAGAAAAAGAGAAAAACTATCCCTAAAATTACAGAATAAAACTATCTACGAACTAAACAAAAATTTGAAAGTTAACGTGGTGGCTGGAAACGAAATTTTTACTTCGCAAATAATATATTAGATGTATTATATAAATTTTCGTTTTTATTATAAAAAAAATAAAGTTTGCCCTTTATTTTATTTTTTTTTCCAAAACATGTGTCATGATCTTAACGGACGTAACATTAAAATTGACACATGTCACAATTTTATATTTTATAAAATGTCGCAACCACGTTGTGCATCCAGCTTTATATAATAAGATAAATATATATATATATATATATATATATATTGCCAATGTATTATATTCCTCATTAAATTCCATCTTCTTTGCTGATCGAGTGAACCTTTGATTCGCTTTGCAACTCAAATCCAGTTCGACGATAAAGATTTGCTTTATCGCAACAAGGGTAAGGGAAAAAAACAGAGGGCTCGAGAGAGTTTTAGGTCTTTCGTTGACACAACACTACTGTCTCTACAGACGACAAGAAAACGGTATTCGTAACTTGAATAACACGTTACAGAAATTCTCATTGACATGTGAAGATGATGTTGACCACTTCAAGACTCATACAAGCCGATGGATAACGAATGCCTTAGAAGGAGGCGTATCGGATCTTGATCTGCGCATCACCATGCTTTCTGGAGAACGACTATACAAGCACGTCTTCTTCCTTCCAATGTCTTCACAAGCAACACACTTGTCAAACTTACATTAAAGACGTCACGGCTTTTTTCTGGAGCTGGAGGTGTTCGTGTTCCTATACCGAAACTTTGTCTTCCGGTGCTAAAGAGTCTCTTCCTGTATACGATTTGGTTTTCAGATTTCTCTGATTTGGTGCTTGGTGGTTGTCCTGTGCTTGAGGAACTATGCTCAGAACCTGACCAGTTTTGTCACCCAACCATCAAGAGAATATTCACGCAATGAAAGGTTCTACCAGAATATCTGGTTTGGGATTCAACACACCAAATCTTGTCTACCTCGACTACTCAGACCGTTGTAACAATCGCAGCTATAATCATGCCAGTTTCCTCCATTCACTTCTCGAAGCCCACCTCGATCTTGATTTGCCTCAATGCCATCATCAGTTTAGAGCTGAAGATCACTCGAGACTAGTTTCTTGGATATGCAATGTTCAAATCCTTCACCTTTCTTCCTCTACTGTTGATGTGTGTGTATCTCTTCTCTCTATGTATCTTGTTCCATTTCTTGACCACTTTGTTTGTGTTTCATTCATGACTTTTTCTGTGTGTGTTGACAGATGATGTTTCAATGCTTGGATCCTTGGCGTAAGAATGGAGGATTCTCTTTGTTTAAAAACCTTGTTAATGTCTCTTTCGAAAATAAAACCAGAAAAGGTTGGGAAGTTCTTTGGATTCTGATGCAAAACTAAGAAAATCAAAATACGTAGAAGAAACAAAAGTTTCTGAAGATTACATTCACTTCTCTTCTTGCTTCATCTTTTCTCCTGCCTAAATATACGCATCACCATATATTGCCAAACATAAAAGTGTGCAGGTGTAAATGTAAATGCCATAGAGAAATTTAAGAACTGAAAATTATACAAACATATTTTTCTAGTAATTAGGTACCATCCATGTATAGAGAGAAAGTATGTCTTTTAAGTTTTAACTAAATCAAAGTTTTTTTTATAATGTCTATTTGTTAAAAAATCAAAATCAAAATCAAAATTCTTAGAGGAACAAAAGTTGAAAAAGTAAGAATCAAAGGTTACTACAAGTCTATGACTCAATGTTAATAAAAGGCGCATCACTACAGCAAAACGCTGCCGTATCTCACGTTTTCTTCCAATCTTCGAACTCTTACACTCGCAGATAAAGCGCGTGGAGGTCAATCTCTATCTTCTTGTCAAATGTCAATTGTCGGAAACGGCGATCATCCAACGTTATCTTTCTCCTCCTCCTAAAACCCATTTTCTTCTTCCAACTTTCCTTAATCTCTACAACTTCTTCGAATCCGAAGGTTTGATAACACTTCCTCTGTTTCTCTTGCTTAAAGTTGTCATTTTGAACGAAAAAGCTTTGATCTTTGACTTAAACCTTGCTTTGTTTAGTCAATTTTAACTCTAAAAGCTTCTCATTTTGTCAATGTATCTGTTTGTTTTGGTTGCAGATCCATGGCGACACCGATATTCAACGCCTCTTGCAGCTTTACATCGAGCAAAGTGATCGATTGCAAAAGCTATGCCGGTCTGAAATCGACGGTGAGCAAAGTGAGAATTGCTTCTTTTCCGATTTCAACTAATCGCCGTCGATCTCTTGTCATAAGAGCCAGTGAATCCAACGGACACGCCAAGAAGCTAGGAAGGAGCGACGCTGAGTGTGAAGCCGCCGTTGTCGCCGGAAAAGCTCCCGAGGCACCTCCGGTTCCACCTAAACCCGCCGCTCCGGCCGGTACGCCGATTGTCCAGCCTCTCGTGAGTATCACAATCCCTTAACTTCAGTCTATCTCTTCTCACTCTAATTGCATCATACATTTGATTCTGCCATTACCCTTTTTGGTTTAATTGAGAAAGGTTCTTAAAGCTTGAAACTTTAAGAGGCTTTCACTGTTTTATCTTCTGAATTCACTCATGTTAAGCTTCAAGCTTAAAGCTTTTAAGAGGCTATGACTGTTTTTTTCTTCTGAATTTACTGATGTTAAGCTTCAAGCTTGAGGCTTTCACTGTTTTCTCTTATGATGCTAAGCTTAAAGGTTGAAGCTTTAACTGATTTTTCTCTTATGGTGTTACTTAATGCTCTCAGAGTCTACATCGACGACCACGCCGTAACCGGGCATCTCCTGCTGTGAGAGCTGCTTTCCAAGAAACTGACATCTCTCCGGCAAATTTTGTATACCCACTTTTCATTCATGAAGGTTGGTTACTTTCTTTTGCATTTTCGACTTTTTAACATCTCTTGTGTGTCTCTCTCTGTTGTCTTTAAGAAAAAAGTTTGTGTTTTTTGGAGACTGGCAGGTGAGGATGACACGCCTATTGGAGCCATGCCTGGTTGCTACAGGCTTGGCTGGAGACATGGCCTCGTAGAAGAGGTTGGCTCGGCTCTGTGTTTCGATTTGATTATCTTTATATGTTGGTACTTGGTTCATAAAAATGAGTTTCTTTTTTGTTTCTTGTGATTTTCTGTGCAAACAGGTTGCAAAGGCTCGAGCTGTTGGCGTCAACAGTATCGTCTTGTTCCCTAAAGTTCCCGAGGCTTTGAAGGTTTTACTTTTACACTTCTCTTGTATTTGCGTACATATGTTCTTGAATCCTGAGTTGTACATTGACCTTTTTGTTTTGGGCTTTCCATTTGTAGAATCCAACAGGGGATGAAGCATACAATGACAACGGTCTGGTGCCTCGAACGATTCGTCTTCTCAAAGACAAATACCCTGACCTTGTAAGATCCATAATCTCATTTTCTTGAACATACATGGAGATGAAAAATGGAGTAATCGTGATAATAAAAGTTTATTCTCTTTTGCTAGATTATTTACACTGATGTTGCTCTGGATCCTTACTCATCTGATGGTCATGATGGTATAGTCAGAGAGGATGGTGAGTAAATTTTCTCCCCAAAACTTCCTTCTGTGACGTTTTAATCGGAGCTGTGATTAGTGATTACATATTTTCTCTCTGTAGGCGTAATAATGAATGATGAAACTGTCCACCAGCTGTGTAAGCAAGCTGTTTCTCAGGTAAATGTTTATTCAGTATCAAAGAATCAAAAACTGTTTGTACCTTTTTTCTTACTTATGAGATATGATCACTTTCTTTCTCTCCAGGCTCGAGCTGGAGCGGATGTTGTTAGTCCGAGTGACATGATGGATGGACGAGTAGGCGCAATCCGTGCAGCTCTTGATGCTGAAGGCTTTCAAAACGTCTCCATCATGTCCTACACAGCAAAGTAAATCATACAATTTTCAACCTCAATCTGAAAGCATCTTCTTGTTTGTGTTTGTCTAATTTTCGTGTATGAATCTTGCGCTTAACAGGTATGCAAGTTCGTTCTACGGTCCTTTCCGTGAAGCCCTTGACTCAAACCCACGTTTTGGAGACAAGAAAACGTAAGTGAATTTGCATTATTGTTTCTTTTGCTAAGAACTTTTGTGGTTAATAACAAGTTTTTGGTAACCTTGAACAATAGTTATCAGATGAATCCAGCAAATTACAGAGAGGCTTTGATTGAGGCACGTGAAGATGAAGCTGAAGGAGCTGACATTCTCTTAGTAAAGTTTCTTTCTTTTTACCATCTTCAAGGTTATAACAACATTTGTAGAGTTTGGTAACAACTTGGGGAGTGTGTGTTTGGTGACAGGTGAAGCCAGGTCTTCCATATTTGGACATCATAAGGCTTCTCAGAGACAAATCTCCATTGCCTATTGCTGCATACCAAGTACTAAGCTTCATCTTATGATATACTCTTACTTATCGACACCAACTTTTTGATCTTTACTTAAGCCTCTCCATGAAAATGTTTCAGGTTTCTGGAGAATACTCGATGATCAAAGCAGGTGGAGTCTTGAAGATGATCGATGAGGAGAAAGTGATGATGGAGTCACTCATGTGCTTGCGCCGAGCTGGTGCTGACATCATCCTTACTTACTTTGCTCTTCAAGCTGCTACTTGCTTGTGCGGCGAGAAGCGGTAGAAGAAGAGAGTGTTACTGTTTCTAAAAACCATTTGAGACAAATCTTGATTTTTGAATTCTTCTGATCCCAAGTTATTTTAGTATCGTCGTGCATATGTGCACTGTGAACGTGTTATCTAATAATGTATTATCAATCAACTGATGTGTCACTCTCATTGACCAAGTTTCTTAATGTGGTTCTTGTAGTTTTCGCTTGATATTTAGCAAACCAATTGTTTGGTTCTTGATAATGTGTTGAATTTTGTTTAAAATAATAATTGTGAACAAGTTCATTTTCTTATTTGTTTCTTTATATTTGCTAAAACCACAAGTTTTGATCTTCTTCTAGGCTTTTTAATGTGTAAAGAATCAATTCGAGCGGATATATATATACGGAAGTAGAAGAACAATTCGTTTGTTAAATCTTGATTACGTCGGTAGAGTGAAGAGAATGCAGTTTGTGAAAAATAAATATTTTAATTCTCTTCCTTGACCATAAATTAAAAAAATACGTGTACACATTGGAAGCTACCACAAAGTCAAGTCAAACATTGGGGCCTAAAGCGTGTCTGGACCAAGAATCAAAATGCCCAATGGGCTCATCACTTACGTATGCTAAATTTAGGGTTTTATTGTTGTTCATTCCACCTATAAATTCAACCTTAGCCGTCTCTCTGCTACTTTCTAGGGTTTCGCAAGTCCATCACCGAGGAACAGAAACAAACGACGCCATGGGGAGAAGTAAGTCCTTCTTCTCTCATTTCGAATTCACCTGAATCGAATTCCTCATTGATAGATAGATCGATAGCTCCTTCTTATCATTTCGTAGTTTCGCTATTCTCTGTGCCCTGCTTCCATTTGAAATCGCTAGGGTTTTTGTTAGCTTTGAGATTTCGATTCCGTCAAATGAATCGATTATGTCAAATTTTAGGGTTCTTAATCTCCGATTCGTTAAATTCGCAGGACCAGCGAGATGCTACCGTCAGATCAAGGGTAAGCCATACCCGAAATCCCGATACTGCCGTGGAGTGCCAGATCCGAAAATCAGGATCTACGACGTCGGGATGAAGAAGAAGGGAGTCGACGAGTTCCCATTCTGCGTCCATTTGGTCTCGTGGGAGAAGGAGAACGTCTCCAGCGAAGCTCTCGAGGCGGCTCGTATCGCCTGCAACAAGTACATGGTGAAATCCGCCGGAAAAGACGCGTTCCATCTCAGGATTAGGGTTCACCCTTTCCATGTCCTCCGTATCAACAAGATGCTTTCGTGTGCCGGAGCTGATAGGCTCCAGACTGGTATGAGAGGTGCTTTTGGTAAAGCGCTTGGAACTTGCGCTAGGGTTGCGATTGGGCAGGTGCTGTTGTCTGTGAGGTGCAAGGATAACCATGGAGCTCATGCTCAGGAGGCTCTTCGTAGAGCTAAGTTCAAGTTCCCTGGTCGTCAAAAGATCATTGTTAGCAGGAAATGGTATGCTTTTGGTTGTTGATGAAGTCTTCTCTTTTGTTGGATTTTGAAGGAGAGATGTAATTTTGGTTTTGGTGGATGTTTTTGTTTCAGGGGATTCACCAAGTTCAACCGTGCTGATTACACGAGGTTGAGGCAGTCCAAGAGGATTGTTCCCGATGGTGTCAATGCTAAGGTTTGTGTTGTTCTTGTATGATCTGAGATTTATAATGCTTATTATGTTGATTGATTCTAAGGTTTGTGTTAATGGCTTGTTTTTGTATGACATGAGATTTCGTATGCTTAGGTTGATTGATTGTTAATGGCTTGTTCTTGTATGATATGAGAGGTTTGCTTTGGTTGATTGATTGTTAATGGTTTGTTCATATGATCTGAGATATTGTTTGCTTATGTTGATTGATTGTTAATGGCTTGTTCATGTATGATCTTGAGATTTTGTATGCTTTATGTTGATTGATTCTGATGGAGTTGATTGTTTGGGTTGTGTGATGCAGTTTCTGTCGAACCATGGACCTTTGGCTAAGCGTCAACCTGGAAGTGCCTTCATTTCAGCAACCAGCGATTGAAGAATATGAAGAAGATGATGTGTGGTTGTAGAACCGATGGTTATCTAGTTTCTGCAGTTTATCGTTTCTGTTTTGTTGTAATTCTTGGAGAAGACAAGGATCCTCGTATGATTACATTTTGCTTGGACCGTTGTTTTTTTAATATTATGTTTCGTTGTTTCTTTTATACTTCAACATCCGGTTTATCTTATAATCTTCAGTTTCTACTCTCTATTTCTGTTTAGCTTTTCATTTTTCCAAAGATTTTAAATATTGGTTTCGTAATTAGGCGTAAGTCTATAATTAATTATTTATTGATGAGGAAATAGAAGTTTAAATTTGAAAGAAAATGTAAACGTTAAAAGATTGTGTGCACATTCTGTAGTTTTATGAGGGGTAAACCAAAAGTACAAAAAGCCCATGAGGCCCATTACAACAAAATTGCCACAATATCAAAACGGCACCGAATCGTTTTAATTGTAAATACAAAATTACAAGTTTCTTGTTTTCTTATGCCATCGACTGGGATTGTCTTGATCGCTGGCGTCGTTTCTTCAGAGAGGAATAATATAATCGGTAAGTCTCTGTTTTTAATAATATGGTGGTCAGATTTAAGAAATTTGACTCAGCCAAAGTTGCATAAAATTAGGAATGAGAAGAAGTACACTTTGGCTCTGTATCCAAATACTAAATACGTAATGAAGATTAGGTGTTCGACGAAATGTCTGAGTAGAGTTTTTTTCCCAGTGGTTGTGTTAGCGAGTTCAACTTTGAATGTATGGGCCATTATGGGCCTTCCCTTAAACATATGACTATGCTGAGATTTAGCAGTTGACTCTTTATTTTGACTTTTCAGCATCAAAGCTTCATTGTGTATGAATTGAAAATCGATCGAGAGGCGAAATCAAAGTTTCGATATGAGTACAGGTGCGTCTTTTCTCTTCTCCTCTACTCACTGTTTCAATTTTTCTTGTTTCGATTTCTCTTGAATTAAAAGAGGTGAATATGGTTAATCTAAGGTTGTCACTCGCCTTAAAATCAATCATTTTTCTGGTTTTAGGTATCTCTGAACACTAGGATTTATGAGTTATCTTGGGGCAATTTATAATTGATTTAGCTTTTAGAAACATTCACTGCTGCTTGATCATTATCTTGAATTGTATGTACTGATTAGTCTCTGTATAGCTAACATTTTCCGGTTCTGTATTTGTTAAAGACAAGAACACTGTGATGAGTTTTTGCTATAAAGGTTAATGCTTTTCAATTTAAAACCCAAAACCCTTAGATTGAAAGTTTAATTTTAACGTTTTCTGGGTTTAATAGTTTTCAAGAAATCATTTTTCACAATCCATCTACTTTACTCGGTTTTGTTGATCAGTATTCTCTACTAACAATGTTACTTCCTAAAGCTCGATCATGACTCGTTACACACGCCTGTTGATTTTTCTTGTGACAAGGTGGAGCATTTGGAGGAAACAGAGGATTGAGACCAATACCACCAGAGAAGGGCATTTTCCCTTTGGATCACTTGCACGAATGTGATGAGGTATTGTTAATTCTTAAACAACGGTGTTGTCTTGGTCTTGGTTATCTTTTAAGCATTTTCTTGGACGAAATGTTGTTTTTTTTTTTTTTCAGGAGAAGAAAGAATATCTTGGCTGTCTCAAGACTTCAGCTCACAAATCAGAGCAATGTAGACATCTCTCAAAGAAATATCTCCAGTGTCGAATGGCCAAGTGAGTCTTTTTTTACTCTGTTTGCACCATTCATATAAACAAAACAAAAAAAGTATATAGAGGAACGTTTGTTTGATGGATTTGTGTATGCAGGAACTTGATGGCGAAGCAGGATATGTCTGAACTTGGATTCAGTGGTGTTAAAGAACTGGATTCCACTGGAGAAGATAAGAGTAAAGAGAGTATCGGACATTAAAGGTGGACTAAACTTTTGAGCCTCTACGGATATGTATTTTTTTGTGACTTACATCATATTATAAAGCATCATACAGAAGCAAAAGGAGTATCGTTCTTTGGCACATATGCTTCTGTAGACTTTTTGGGCTAAAGATTTTGGACCTTTGTAGTCCATTTTGATTAATTCTTGAGCTTAGATTGTTCTAAACACATGTATCTGTCAAACAGTAGATCATTTGCACACAAATTACCCTCAAGTTATTTACTTCAGCTTCACCAGCTCCAATCTTTTCTGCAAACCAATAACACAAATTCTCCAATTTATACAAACAAACGTCTTTGGTTGAAATAAAGAAAAAAGTCCATACGTCTCTTTTTGGTACTATGTAAAGTCTGCTACTCATTCATTTTACGTCATTTCTGTCGACAAAAAAAAAATATATATACTCTAGTTTGTCACACTGTATACAACACCTTGAAAGCGGAAGTCAAATAGATCTTCTCCTCTTTCGATTTAGATCTCTATTATCAAAATTTTCAAAATCGCCGCCTTTAATCAATTAGATATAACTATATAAGCTTAGACTGTTATACACAAGTATATTTCTAAAAACAGTACATTATTTTCACGTAGTTGCTGATATTCCAGTACTTTTGGTGTCGTATAATAGATATTCCAGTATTATTATTATGGCCGAGACGTTCTTGATAGCAAGTAAATATATGGACAAGTTTCTTTGGACTTGTTTTGTATTAGATGTGGTTACGTTATATATTTTTTTGTTTAACCTTGATAATCCTTGTCTCCTCTATCCATAATTCCATATGCCTCTTTCTTTCTTTCTTTTTTACTTCTAAAAAATATTTTACCGAGCTTAATACATGTGGCAGAAACTGGATTAATATGAGTACTTATGAAGAAGAAGAAACAAAGGTGGAATAATGGAGGAGGATTGCAGACATGATGCGATCCTTTTGTTGTCGATTTTGCTATTTTAAAAATTTATGACCATATAGCTCCAAATTAAAACGAAAGACAATAAAATAATTACTGTCGCAATAATGTTCTTAAGAGTTCAACTATGTAATCAAGCGAGCATAATCCTTGTCTCAAATCATTACTGTCACGATCGACATATATGAATGTTGTCCCAATACCCACTTGATTTTCTTTTGTGACAACGCAAACGCAACAATGGCCAATGAAATGGAGATAGGGATTTTTCATAAATCATATCGTTAGATATAAACGTAAGGAAATTCTTAGCAGTAGTTTTTAAGCTACTATTAAAATAAAACGATTTTGTCTTATGATTTGCAGTTACAATTTTGTGGTGTCGACAAAACACACACACACACACACAAAATGTTATAAAATGAGATGATTTTTTTTTTGGTAAAAGAAGTTACTCAAACTGGTCCACTACCCGACAGACATAACATAAATTAATCATCTATAAGATCTGTTAAATACTTAAATGAGATAACTATTGAATTATCGATGTCAGGAACTGGTGGAACATAGCGTCAGTGGAACATCGGGTAAGTGGACTGCGGACCGACAACTTCATAGTTTATAAAGACGATGCATTTATAAATAAAAAAATAAAGTGTCCACGTAATCGTACTCTGAATGCATACTGATAGAGATATATTTAAGTACATTTTCATACAATACAATTGTGATTATCTTTAATTTACTGTTTGTCATAATTCACAAACATATACTCCTAAAAATCGTAAAATAAAGGCATGTAAATTGATTTTTTATCCTAAGAAAACATATTGCTGAAAACTACTTATTTATTAAATTTATTGTGAACCATGACCATTAAAACCAGGGTGGCACAACCCTTCTCTTATTCCTTTTTCTCATGACTTTAATGTAGATTTATAAATATTTGCATTGGCCTACCATTTCGGTTGGGAGGAAAAAAATTAGAGGGTCCATTCCTTTATTTCTGCTTCTTAATCTGGTGGTCTATGTAAATTCTTAGAATTGTGTGGACGTTTAAATTTTGTATTTTGTACTCATTCGGCTTCTCGTTTTAACAAAATATATATGCAATTATTTGGATATATCTGGATGTGTTTTATATATTCAGATACATCTAAATAATTATCGATACATTTTGTCAAAATGACAACTTATTTAAAACAGAAAGAGTATGGGCATGATTGGTAAGTGCTCTGAGTGCTCTGCAGAGCAATAATTATTTCTAGAGCATTATAGTTAAACCAATCATGCTTTGATTTCATTTTTTAAATTCAGAGCCATAATTTTAAATATGGAAATATTTTGGCTCTGCAGAGAAGATTTTTCAGAGCACAAATTTAAGGGCTCTAAGAATTCTCTCTCTTCTCATTCCTTAATCTTACTCTCTCTATTCATTTTTTAATGTTTCTTTCCTATATCTCTTTTATTTATTTTTAATGCTACATTTATGATATTTTATAAAAAAATATATTTATAATAAAAATCCTACAGCACTATAATCTACAACCACAGCAAAAAAGTCTACAGCCTAAATTCTACAGCAAAAAATCAAAAGTTATAAACACAACCAATCAGGCTTTATATTTTTATTCTCATATAATATTTCTGAAGGTTTAATTTAAAATTTGAAAGTAATTAGAAACCTAAAAGAAAATTAGAATAAGATACAGAAGAGCTCATATTTTCTAAGTGATTTTTGTGTATCTCTTTTCTGAAATCCCTCGAGAACCTCAATCAACGTAGGCATGGCTATATGCTCTTCCACTATGGTAGAGACCAATGCACGGACCAAACTTTCAGATTGCTAAATTATGCTCTTTCAATAAGGTAGAGAGAGACCAATGCATGGACCATTTTTTGTTTTTAAATGTTAAATGCATGTACCAAGCTTCGGATTATTAAATTTACAAAAAATGAAACCAACATGGTCTAGCTTGATTTTGTTGATTTATTTGCTATTTGCTTCTATTTCCAAATATATAAAACTATTCTTCGTCGATCTACGTTTATCTTTTGGTATACTATATCGCTATCAAAGCAAATTAGTCTCCGGGAAATGCTTATCTTCATTATTTGTCAATCTTTTTCTATGCACTATTCAGTTTTCAGACGCCAAAAGCTAAAAAACCCAAAACACGTGATCAAGCAACGTACGCCAAATACTAGATGTAACGTTAAATACAATTATCATCAAAATTATACGTTATACAGAGATAGATAAATGTGCAGAGAGTTTATCAGTTACTTTAATAAATTTTGATATTTATTTCAACAGTTTTACACGGGGATTTGCAGAGTAGCCTCTTCTTTTATGGGCAATACTAACGAGAGAAAACTAAAAATGACTAGATGCGTCACGGACAGTAAGGAGGGTGAGCAAAGTATTCGTTATATATATTCGATCTGATACTATTATTATATTTCAGTAATTGTTAAATCAATAAATCTTATAGTGTTCGAGATTTCAGATTGGGCATTGTCATATTGACAAAATAATGATGAGTATAAATTCATAGGTATGGCCGTATGGATACGGATATATAAGAATATTTTATATTTTATATTTTATTTTCAGGTACTTAGATTCGACATGCATGAAACATACAATTTTTTAATTTATTATTAATTTACATTTTTTTATCAATTTTAGATTTTTTTTAATACTATAACTAAAGAAACAATATATTGTCAATTATGCAGATTATTGAATATATTCCAAAAAATATTTGTTTTTAAACAATATACTTTGGGACAGCTACTATAATCTGCATTTAATACTATAGTAGCTGTCCCAAAATATTTAATAGTTAAGATATATTTTTCTTATACATCTATAGTACATAACTACATACCGATAATTACTACTGATATTTTACACATAATACCTGATAATTAATTACATGTTGGTGGTAGCAAGAACCTCTCCTCGTAGATATTCACAAGTTATCAATAAGATTGTATCTTAGATAAATCTCATATAAGCTTTGATTGATAAACAAATTTAAGACAGTTGGAGGTTCAATCATTCATTCAATTATGGATTGAACGGATTAATTAACATAAAAGAAATAGTAAAATAGATATGTCCATTGCCATTATCTTGAATGATAAGAATATATACCACTTTCACAAATCTTGTTTTGTTTGCTATGTCAACAGGCCAATGTAAGTTTAAATCTAATAATTATGCTTATTCGGGTCAAATTTCTTTGACGAATTAACTAAGATGGAATCATGAAACATTTTTAACAAAGAAAAATCATGAAACATTTTTAGGATCAGGAATGGGACCGGTAAAATCTACTTGAATTAGATTTTTCTTATTTTTAAAAAAAAAATTAGTAGGGTCTGGGTCTGTTAATAACGTGGCAAACAATTTAAAGACAGACAACAAAATAGTATCATTATCATTAGTCCCACTAGAAATTAATTAACCACTTAAAAAAAGAAATATAACTATAGTAGCTAAACAAAGGAAAGACGACACCTTTCTAATTCACATGGAAAATGAAACCCAATATTGAAAAAGAATAAATTCCCCATACAGAAATTGAGATAGACTATTTCTTTTCTTTTCTTTTGCATCTTCTCCATAATATTTGGTCTTTACTTTTCCTTTTTACCATCCTGTTTTTCTTGTTGCCCTATTTTTAACCCTTATGGACTACTACTACATGAACAGTTCTGACTGCAGCAACGTGTAATAATTCGCAGCTTCATCCTCGAGCTCCCAAAGCCCATCACCAAACCCATCTAATAAACTAAACCCATTAACGTAATCCTGATTAGTCTCACTATTAATCATCTCATAATTACTCCCGCCCATTTCAGTGTTAGGGATCCCAAGTTCGTCGTCAGAAGCTTCTAGAAGATGCTTCATCACTTTCTCCTTGTCGCTCTCGTACTCGTCTTCTTTCGAAGCGCACGAAGACGACGAGGAGGAGCAAGAAGAAGAAGAGAGAGCAGGATTCTCGAACACGGCAGCGTTTTGCTCTTCCGTAGAGATTTCTTGCTGAAGTGTGGTGATTAGAGAAGTTAAGTCATCGTCTGCTTCGTTTTGTGCTTCTACGTCATATAAGAGACACAGATCTTGATCGTACGAGGATGAAGATGATGAAGAAGGCTTTTGTCTTTTTTTTTCTTCTTGTATTATAATTTCTTGATCTTTCTCTTCTCTTTGGCGCTTCAAGGGCGATGATATTGCTGTTTCTGCCATTTTTTTGAGAAGAAGAGACTAAACAATCGTATTGGTGTTGAGAGGGTTTATTTAGCTTTTTAAAAAATCGTGAGAGAGAGAGAGAGATAATCGTTGGGGTGATGAGAGAGAGGAGACTGAAAATGTTTATATAGAGAAAGATTGTGGTCAAACGGGGTTATGTTTAATAAAATAAAGTAATAAACCCATAAAATAATGACGTTACTTAGAGTTAAAAAAAAGATATTAAGAAGTAATTTGTTGGTTCGTGCATGTCATGAGAGAGACATGTGAATGCCATTTCTTTTCTCGCATAACCCGGAGAGGAATTTTAAATTACATGGTCTACAATTATTTCTTGGCATCTGGTCAAGATTAGTTATATTAAGTACTGAATCAATATTTTAAACAATTGTTTATTCTTTTATAATAGTGATTTAGACCTTAATGTAGCATGTATAATAATATGTTCTTCTGATAACAGGTTGCCTAGACGGCAAACCACCCAAATATCTGATTTTGACCAAGTCTGTCGAAATCTAGCTTAGCCCAAATCAACGATGAATTTTCAAAGTTTCGGCGTTTTGATTAGTCGTTTTCAAACAACCGATTAATATATTTATTTTGATTTTTAAAAATGTTAGTTACTTAAATACAAAACTAGTTAATGATATACATACAACAAATTTCTTATTAAACTACGATTAATTAAGTAGGGGTTTTAGTTTTACGTTGCTTATCATAATTATATTACATTGTGGTTAATTAAGTAGGGGTTTTACGTTGCTTATCATAATCATATTACATTGCGGAGATCTAATGTCTACCACAGCTAAGTTTTGTTTGTATGTATATTTGCCAAGGGGAAAAAAAAAACTTATAACGTTCGGGACAGAAATCACGAAGTACTATTTTTTTTTTGTTAAAAGGTCTACGAAGTACTATATAATAAAAGAAAACAGATAGTTCCGACAAAAATAATAAAAGTTCATGAATGGAAGTAAGTACTGTTGAGAAAATTTGTTCAGTGTGGACTGTAAAATGTAAATGCAGTGGCCTAACATTTTTTGTCATGTAATATTCATCTTCAGAAAATGATAAAATGGAGTTGAAAGTAAGATGCTTATTTTTTAAAATATTTGGTAAGAAAGAATAGACAAAAAGAAACAGAAAAAGTTGTTGTCAAGGAGATTTGGTAAATATATTTAGGTGTATTATGTGCCGTTGGATTAGCATTCCAAAAGGAGCTTGTAAATTACGAGGGTTGATCGAACGGTTGTGGCTTGAAGTCTGTGGATTGCACATGGAAAGTGACAGGCTCTCATTGATTTTTCTTGTGTCCAAACAAGATTCTTATCGTTTACATGGATGGTGGATGGTGTAGATTAATCACCACCTAAACTATTTCGTCTTTAAAACGTTGGGATGGTTGTAACCGTATTATAATATACTAGTATGTGTTATATATTTATATTAGCAAAGGTGTGTGAGATTGTTCGTTGTGAACTTGTATTTTTATATCGTTAAACTTTAGAAGCAACGATTAAGAAAAAAGGAAACTATAGATTAACCAATTATCTACTTTGTCCACACATAAAAAAGGATTAACCATAAAGTTGAGTTTAAACCAAATCATAGCAAAATAGTGGTTCAAGGATTCATTCTAAAAGCTAAACGATATAGAATATATGATTTAAAGTAGATATGGTAAATGATAATTTTGTTTTTCATTTTCTATAAACTACAAGAGTTAATTGTTATAAAATTGAAATATTTCATTATTTTGTTTCATTTGCTAAATATGTATTTCATTTTATTAGTACCACTGCTATCTGTTTACGTCTCTGTTGGTTAACGCTTTTAAAATTCTAACCTTACCTCTAATATCATTAGAAAAGAAGGTACGCATCTTTTGATTAACAACAAATACACGAAGCTTCTGTTATCAACGTCGGCACGCTTTTCCTTTTTTCTTTTCTTTCGGTAGCACAAATTGAAAAGTATGTAGCAGTTTCATTGTCATTGTTTCAATAAATACTAAATGTAGCACGTAAACAATATATGCATGCTCCTTAGTTCAATTAAAATAATTTAAGGAATTCAACAGGATATTGACATAAATATAATCAATTAAAATAAGTTATAGTTACTTGATATATTACTTTTTATTAAAAGACCATATATAACTAAATTCCTTTTTTTTTTAAAACGATTTAACCCACGAGCCTATACTTTAATTCTCAAAAAGAAAGTACAAATAATTTGTTAGTTTCTCTATCCATTGTTTGTTATCCATAATCCACTATACAGTATAATTCTTTAAATTCTGCTCAATCGAACCGACTTGCGAAAAGAGATTAAACCAAAATGTTATCGAAATACAGATGGGAAAAAGCAAGATACAGTTAAAACGAGACTAGAATATAAAAAAAGAACAGTCAGAAAAGAAAGAGAGGGGACTGGTGAGATGATGAACAACACTACATGGTTCGAGGTAGGGTTACACAAGTGGGTTTTGTTTGGTTTCTTTATGCACTTCTTCGTGTCTTCGCTTTTCTTTTGTCCCTTCGCTTTACTTTATTAGTTCTACTCACCTTTTTCACTTCTTATCGGTTACGGGACAAAATCGATGGTTAAGTGAGAGTGACGACGATTTGGTAAATACAGGTTGCGGTTGAATTGTTGTTAAACTTGGGAGGACAAATTTCATAATTCTGCTAGTTTGGTTGTTGAAACAACTTAACCAGGACGTTGCAAAAAAACAAAATAAGACTGGAGTATAAGAGAATCGACGTCCCGTCTACTTTAGTGGTAGTGATTTTCTAACCCGTATTGGTACCTAATTGATTAACAGTAGATTTTGGGATAATTTTGGTAGATTTTTTTTTTTAATAATTTTGTTTAGGTCAAATAGCACTTATAAAATCTAGTTTGAATCCAAGTAGTGATGTAACAACCTTATTACTAAGCTGCAAATCTTATGTACTGAAACAATGAACGGTTTTTGGTAAAAAATTTATACTTGTCTGATATAAAATAAAAGTGAAGTCTGTATGTGTAACGATCTTGAAAAAAAAATATTTCAAACGTCTGAAATTATTCACAGATATTTCTCATATAAAACATAAGAAACTACAGCTTTTTTTGTTCTTAAATGGTTATAGAATTGAATATCAAGTGAGATAACAACTAAATATAGCGTAATACAAACAAAAAAAAAAAAGTTGTATTTATCTTTAGAATTAAGGTGGTCCAAGCTAAAGGAAGTGTTGTTTGGGGCAGAAGAGGAAGTGGGGGCGACTCGTAGCCTTTCTGGAAGAGCACACTCTTACTTGCCATTCCTCTCCATATGTCAACTTGTTCTTTGTTTTCTAATTTCTACATTAATTGTATTTACTTATAAATAACTTATATATATGATCGGCTACGTACAAATTTAGGATATCGGTAGAGAGTAACTCTCTGAGTCCTGATCCGTTCGAAAATCAAGATAGCAGATTCGTATCTTGATATTACAAAACAACAAAAAATGCCAAAAAAAAAATCATATATACATACATATGACTTCAGGAGGCAACGCTGTATTGAAGCGGTTTGGATCGAATCTTCGATCTTAGATGTATTGCCCACTCCTCCTCAAGTCATATCGTACACGTACGCGCACATGACACACTGCAATCTGCATGTACACGTACATGTGTATACTACCGTATACGTGTTGTGTGTACGTAACTCTCACGTATCGGTTCTGGAGGCGGAATATTAAATGTTTGCTATGATATACAAAGGGGGTTTTGCATCGGCATAAAAATGAATGGACATGTGCTCCTTAATAATTTTTATCTGTTTCTTATTTAAATGTATATGAAATATATATTTAATATCATACTATAATATAATATGACATTTTTATGTTAACCCATTTATGCCGACGAACTCACAACGTTCATTTTCTTGTTTTCGTACTATCTTTTTTTGTTAAAGAAAAAAAAAAATATATATATATATATATAAATATATATATATATATATATATTTTCTTGTTTTCGTACTATCTTCTGAAACATATGATTAAGCTATTAGTATTTTTTGAAGGATAAGAGCAGGATATATATCGACTTATATATAAAAAAAATATATATATATATATATATATATCGATTAATGCTTTTATTTTTTATGTAATCGAATTACTGACTTCCTATACTCTTATGTAAAAAGAAAATCGTGTAAATCGAGAGAAAATGAATAATAAGTTTATCTCTCGCTCTGCATTTGCTGTTAAAAGCCTGATATGTCATGATGACTCGGTTTCTTAAATACTTATGTATTTATTTACTTTATTTGGGCCCTATTTATTTATTTTGCGAGCGAAAGAAGTAACTTATCGATGCAAGAAATACATTAACTATTTGTCAAAAAAAAAGAAATACATTAACTAAAGGTAACACATAAAATAAAGTAGAGTAATGATGTTTCCCGTGAGAACTAATTAAAGTAAACTAAGAGTAAGGTTTCGTGCTGATGATTTGTCAGACCTAATTAGGATCTCATTCACGTGTAAATTAATGTTTGCGCATTATTTCGCAAACCTAACGCTTTAACAAACAACATATCTACTTAAGCGCTTCATTTGTTTTTCTTTATTTTGGCTTGTTAATTGGCTTGTTAATTAGAGAATGGATCTTAGATCGGTTTAAGTGATCAGATTGACGACAAGGTAAACATAGTTACTTTATATATACTATAGAAAAATAACTTATCTCTAGGTTTTAATGTTTGTGCATTCTTATTATTTTATTGCGAATTGCTTTTTTCTACGAACTGGCGATAATTTTTCTTAGATATGTATCAAGGTAAACTAAGAACATATTTGCAACTACTAAAACATAGGGCATCACAAACTTTCCTAGTACCAAGAAAATTTAGTTATTAGAGATAATAGAATAATAAAAATCTAGTTTTAAGAAAAGAAAATTGTAAAAAAGTCCTAGTTAACCAAGGGTTAGATATATATTCAT